CATGCTTGGCTTCTGGGGTGCAGTGAGCAGTGCCGGAGGAAAGGGAGGGCGTGAATGCAGACTTTCTGCCGTGGAGGGACATTTCATTTAAAGATAATTTTATCTGATCTGCGTATTTATTCCCTCTCCAGGGCAACATTTGGCAGCTTCTTACTCCCCAAGGATTTCTAGTTGTAATGATTTAGACTGTAGAGTGATAGCTTTCATTTAAAAGTATTTACTGAATTTTGTCTGAGTACATATTCGTATTGTCCCTATGATTCTGACAGTAAGTATTGGTTTCTTTTCTCAAAGTAAAGAGGAAACTGCTTATGCTCTTCTGTAGATACCCTGGGGAGTCTCAGTCTTTGCCTTTTGCCCTTTCCTTCAGTACAACCAGCTGGAGACCAAACGCTCACATGTTTTCTTCAGTGTGGAAAGTGACCTTACTTCAGTAATCACCCAAATTACTGTTTGCCCCCGCACATTCGGGCAATTTTTGCAGATTGTCACAATTTAAATAGTATTTTAATATGTCTTGATTTCTTCTTCCTCCTTCTCCTCTTCTCTCTCTTACATGATTCTTACCTGAACAATAAGAGACCACAAATAGACATTTACATTCCACTCCCCCAGCTCAAGTACTTTTTGGTACAATGATAGATTTATGTCAATATTATTAAATTATATCTCGTGTAATTGGTTTCAAGAGTTATTTTTATGTTTAGGTTTTTGACCATTTGAAAACAATCGTATGTCTTGGGAGTTTTATGCACCAGTGGTTTTGACTGTGTGTGTGTTTGTGCGCGTGCGTGCGCAGGCGTTTGTGTTTATTAGTTATTTTCTTGTCATTGTGGTAGAGTTCCTAACAGAAACAACTAAAGGGAGGACTGGTTCACAGTTCAAAGGTCACAGTTCATCATGACTGAAAGGCACATTGGCAGGGGTATAAAGTGGGCCCGTCATAGAGAAGCAGAGAGCTCTGACTTAAAGCTGACCAGGCCTTTAACTCCCTGGCTCCACTCCTACAGCCCTGTGTGAGCCAGCTAGGCCTCATATCCAAAAGATTCTATGACCTTTCAAAAGAGTACCACCTGCTGAAGACCAAGTGTCCAAACCCCTGAGCCTGTGGGGAGGTTTCCTGTGAGGTCATCTGCGCTGTGGAGTTCAAGTATCCTACCTAAAGGTTTTCTCTTATACAGCAACATTTTTCATGCCTTGGGTTTTGTCCTAAAGCAGTGGTTCTCAACCTTCCTAATGTTGTGACCCTTTAATACAGTTCCTCATGTTGTAGCGACCCCCCAGCCATAAAATTGTTTTTGTTGTTACTCTATAGTTGTAATTTTGCTGCTGTTATGGATTGTAATGTAAAAATCTGATAGGTAGGAAATTGTAATGTAAAATCTATCTGATATACAACCTCCCATGAAAGGGTTATTTGACTCCCCAAAGGGGTCATGACCCACAGGTTGAGAACATCTCTCTAAAGGTTCTCACATTAGAAACCCTGGGGTTATTCTGTTCTTTCTACCTTAGACATTTGGTGAGCTTGCTTTTTCCTTAGTTTCCCTTTATGCTTCTAGAACCTCTCTTTACTCTTGAGATTCCCAAATGTCATTAAGCTATATGAAAACTGAACATCTTTGAACATTGCTTTGTAATTTATGTAAACACGAACCAGTACTGAATGTGTCTTCGTATTCAGTGGCTTTTCCTTGTTTGGGGCTCTGCCTTTCCAGCTGCACTCCAGTCCTCGCATCTTTGGAATGACTGGGTATTTGTTTTAATCCTCCATTTCCTTCATGTTGTTGCTGACCCTCTCGTGCTGAGTGGCTAGCTTACATCTTTTATTTTATTTGGCATTTTTATTCTCTAGGAATTATATATATATATATATTTATATTTAACTATATATATATATAGTTTTTTGTTTATGATTTTTTTTTGAGACAGGGTTTTTCTGTGAAGCCCTGGTAGGCCTGGAACTCACTCTGTAGACCAAGCTGGCCTGGAACTCATAGAGATCTGCCTGCCTCCCCACTCCCCTCCACCCCCCACCCCACCCCGCCCTGTGCTGGGATTAAAGTCATGTACCACCACTGCTCTCTCTACTTCATTTTTTTGTATTTAGAAATTATTTTTCATTGTGTTCTGTTTGATAGGTACAATCATGGCTTCCAAAGACAACCATTACTCAACCCACAGGACCCCTGAATGAGTGACCTTAGTGGTCAGAGGAGATTTTTTGGAAATGATTTTGTTAAGAGATTTGAAATGAAGAGATAATCATAGATTCAGGCTTCTTAAAAATGTTCTGCTCACAACCCCTTTGTACACTTGAGAAATGTTTACAAGTGTCTGGGCATGTCTGTGAGGGAGTTTCTAGATTAATTAAGGTGAGAAGACCTACCCTAACTCTGTGTGTGTGTGTGTGTGTGTGTGTGTGTGTGTGTGTGTGTGTGTGTGTTGGGACATTCTTCTGTAGACTGGAGCCCTAGAGCGACTATGAAGGAAAAAGCCAGCTGAGTAGAGCATTCCTCACTCCCTGCATCCTGAGTGTGTTTCATTCGCTGCTCCACACTCTGCTGGCAGGATTTCCCTGATAGACTGGACTATACTATCACACCGTGAGCCAAAAAGAAACCCTCCCATCCTTACCTGACTTTGGCCAGATATTTTGTTACAGCAGTAAGAGAAATAATTAACATGGTAGCTGTTGCTCATGTAATCAGAAAGTTCTTGAGGTCTTCGGGAAGAGACTGTGTTCCTGTGTTCACAAAAAAGTAAATCAATTAATTACTATGGAGCCTGAGCTGGATGAAAGAGAAACTGGAAAATAGGGAGGGTAATCCATTGGAAAAACAAATAGAAGGATCAAGAAAATGGATGTCTTCAAAAGACAGAGGTACTAGGCATCACATGAGAAAAATTGAAAAATGAGAAATTATGACGAGTAATTAGAATGTCTCAAGTATTTCCAAAAGCAGGCAGTTCTGGCTGGTTGAAAAAGTCTTGTATGTGTGATCATGGGTGTGGGCAACTGGGCTGTAATGGAATAGGTCACTGAAGATGAAGTCAAGGAAATTGTGACAGGGTCCTGTGCTGTTGTCCCCTTTGGGGGAGGGGGCCAAGTAGGCACAGAGTCAATGACACAGACTCTGGGAGAATGTTGAAACAACAAGCTTAGTTTATTCAGGAAGAGGCAAGCCTTATATACCCTCCACCTCACCCTGGGGGGAAGTCTGATGAATATGCATCTGCTGGTGTGACATGGCTGCCTCTCATTGATCCAGGTCATCTCCAAATAATGTCTTAGCTGCTGTTGCTAAGGCCCTTAAGCAGATCCAGGTTGGCTCTCAGAAAGTATCTTTTTTACTGCTTTGGGTCATCTGGCCCTCAATCCTGTTAGGGATGAGTCATTCCACAGGAAATGACAGGCAGGAAAAGTCAATGAATTACCTAGAATAAGGGCAAGATTTGGGGTGGAATAGAACACCATAGGGCAACTTCTCTGATTTGCAGTGAGGGAGACGCTGTGGACTGTATAGAAGATGCCAAGAGGTGTAAGACAAGGTCATGGAGTGTGATCTCTTTGATGAAGAGAGGGACCAAGAGATAATCATACAGCACATGCACCAACAGCAATGTGACTTGAAATGTTGGGATGAAAACAAAAATTTGTGGTTGTTGTCGTCATAAGTCAAAAAACTAATCACTCAGGCATTTCACACTGTTGTTTAAAAATCATTTAGTGTTTTGTAAACATTCATGTACAACCTATGGATATTTAGTAGACCTATTAATCAAAAATATTGATTAAGGTGGGCCTGGATGTGCAGGCCTGCAATTGCAGTTAAAAGTCCTAGGTCTAATTCCTAATACACACACACACACACACACACACACACACACACACACACACACACAAATTGTCATATTGTCTTAGTGATTTAAAAATCACATCATGAGAAGAGGAAGAAGAATATGAAATGTCTTCAGGGAATAGTTTCTAATTATAGAACTTTCCAATGAACTGAAGGTCTCAGGAAGAGATTTCCCCCCCCTTTTTCTACTTGATATATATCCCCCCATTGCAGTCTTCATTATCTTTTATTTTATAACTTTTCTCTACTATTTATTGATTACCTATATTCTATTTAGACCACCTCAAACCTTTCTGGACTAGAGTGTGAGTATAAATAGTATGCAAGTATATTCCAACTGTCTTTGATTAAAAGAAAAAAAGATTAAGTAAACACATTATAAAGCAGCATCACTCTACACTGGAAGGCATATAATGTCCTCTGAACTAATTTTATTTCTTGTGGAACAGTGTCAGGTATCAACTGCTTACATTAAGCCTTCCAAGGGGGAAGAAAATTCTCAAGAGTCACAGATTGGTAGATGGATGCTATTCTGGGGATGAAGAGTCCTGGGGGTGGGTTGTGCTAACCACAGGAATGTTGAACAGTACATGCTGGCTTTGACTAAAGAGTCTTTGATGCATAGTATGACCTTTGAAATGTTGGGCCTGATGGTCCTTCTGGGAGCTTGTGTTACATAATATCTGTCACAGGTCAAAATCACTGTGTGAGGCGAGAAATGCAGACTAATTGGCCAATGATACCATTTCCAGAAATTACCTCTGCTTACTAAATAACAGGGCAGAGTAGACTTCCATAGGATAAATACTTCAATTGCAAAGTTCTGTAAGATTTTTGGCTGTATTGGGCCTTTTAAGGAAGATTTTTTTTGTATGTGTGCCATGTGGTTTTTCTTGTAAACTTCAATGACACACAACCACCAAGCAGAGACCTTGTCATTTATTTGTCTCACCATCTTTAATCTTGAGTACTAAGTGACCAGTATAGCTGTTTGTATTATTCTGTGTCAGATTTTCAGATTCTTTGCTTTTATTTTAGTTCTTCATTTGCAAATGTTATCAGAGTCTTGTGTTGTCCGCCCATCTTTAAATTTGGATCTGGGGTTTCTTTTACTCATTCATTCATCTTCTTTTTCAGTTCACAGCCATGAACGAACCACAGTGCTTCTACAACGAGTCTATTGCCTTCTTTTATAACCGGAGTGGGAAATATCTTGCCACAGAATGGAACACGGTGAGCAAGCTGGTGATGGGACTGGGGATCACAGTCTGTGTGTTCATCATGCTGGCCAACCTACTGGTCATGGTGGCAATCTATGTCAACCGCCGCTTCCATTTCCCTATTTATTACTTGATGGCCAACCTGGCTGCTGCAGACTTCTTCGCTGGATTGGCCTACTTCTACCTGATGTTCAACACAGGACCCAATACTCGGAGACTGACTGTTAGCACGTGGCTCCTCCGGCAGGGCCTCATCGACACCAGCCTCACGGCCTCTGTGGCCAACCTGCTGGCTATTGCCATTGAGAGGCACATCACGGTTTTCCGCATGCAGCTCCATACACGAATGAGCAACAGGCGTGTGGTGGTGGTGATTGTGGTCATCTGGACCATGGCCATTGTGATGGGTGCCATACCCAGTGTGGGCTGGAACTGTATCTGTGATATTGATCATTGTTCCAACATGGCACCCCTCTACAGTGACTCCTACTTAGTCTTCTGGGCCATTTTCAACCTAGTAACCTTTGTGGTCATGGTGGTTCTCTATGCTCACATCTTTGGCTATGTTCGCCAGAGGACTATGAGAATGTCCCGGCATAGTTCTGGACCCAGGAGGAATCGGGACACCATGATGAGCCTTCTGAAGACTGTGGTCATTGTGCTTGGTGAGTTCTGTCTTGACTGTTGTCTTCTTTATAGATTCCTAGTTGTCATGTAGCCACACTAATTTATGATAGTGCTAAACCAGAGTGTGAATATTTACCAGGTATATATGCAGCATTATGAAAGAACAGGGAAATTTCATTTTGAATGTCTATGGCAATGCCAGCTTACCATTCTTTGTATAGTTATAACCAGCTAAAGACTGGTCTCAGTGCTGTTCTGTAAATGATGAAATGAAAGATACCATAGAAGATTTTTTTCCTGGAATTGAGAATTCCATAACATTCAAAGCCCCAAACCACCAAGATCAAAGCAAACATAAGCCTCAGAATGACTGGTTTCATTGAGCTTTAAAAAGATTTTATTAGAGTCCACATCGTAAGACTCTTGCCCTGAGGTCTTTGTTTTACAGATATTCAAATGGATGGTACTTTATATGATATGAACATCTTTTATGCTTTCCTACATAGTTATTTATTAGTCCATGTGTATATGCTGTGATTATGTTTTTTATTTTATTTTTGAGAATTTGATCCATGTATACAATGAAATATAATCGTACGTATCTCTGCCTCCAGTTCTCCCTATATCTCCCCAACATGCCCCTCCTAACTTCATGTCTTTGATTTTGTGTTGTTTATTTATTTTAATTTTATGATAACCCACTAAGTCCAGTGTGCATCGATGTGGGACATGGGAAACCTACCAGTATTCAGTTCCTCCATAGACAATGACTCTTCGTCCCCCGGCAACTATCCATGAGCAATAGCTCCTCAGTATGGAGTGGCTCCTGAAGATCATCTACCCATCTATGCCAGGATGATCTTGTGACTCTTTTGGCTGTCTTGGCCTTGTGAAGGTCTTGTGCAGGTAACCACTGCTGCTGTGAGGTCATGCTCTAGACAGCTCTGTCATGTGCTGAGGCAGCATCCCTCAGCAGCCATCTCTGTTCTCTGGCTCTTACTTTCTGTCTGCTTCCTCTTCTGTGATGTTCCCTCAGCCTTGGTGGTGAATGTTCTGTTTAGGGCTGAGCACTCAGAATCTCATTCTCAGCACTGGGACCAGCTCTGCATCTCTCCATTGACTGCTGTCCACTGTGGAAAGAAGCTTCTCTGACCACGGTAGAAAGCAGCCTGGGTCTGTTGGTGCAGAAGCTGGGCAGACTCTCTGTAACTCATCAAATTGTAGGCAAATAGACCAAAGTTTTATGGAAATCTATGGCACTAATCTTTATGAAAATTAGTTTTGGAAAATTAATTTTCTCTTCATATTAATAGACATTAACTTACAATTCAAGATAAAGATGATAATGTTGTTCTCTCTATAAATTCATATAATTTTTGTTGTTTATTTTAAAATTAAAATATATCATTTCTCCCTCTTTCCTCCCTGCAGTCTGTCCCATGTTCCTCTTCCATCTCTCTCTCTCTCTCTCTCTCTCTCTCTCTCTCTCTCTCTCTCTCTTTCTCTCTCTCTCTCTCTCTCATCTATCTTTCTATGCCTAAATATATTAATATAACCTGTTCAGTCCCTTTAATGTTTCTTGTATGTATATCATTTTATGACCACTTAGTACTGTATAACCCATTAGGGAACTCATCCTTGAAAATTATTTCTCTCACTCTCAGCATGAGACAGGCTAACCTTGAACTCATTATATATAGCCCAAACTGACCTTATCTTGTAAACTCCTGCCTCACTCTCCTGAGTGCTTGGATTATAGGCATGAATTACCATACCCAGTTTTAAACTGAAATAACTTTCACTTTAAACTAAGTTTAAAGTTTAAGTTTTCCTAGATTTAAAAAAAACTCATGGTGGTGATCAGTATGAATATATGTATATATTTACATGCTCAGAAAATAATTATAGAAACCTAATAAGTTCTAGGAACTGGGATGGCACCTGGAGATATACCCACCTAAAAGACATTTGGAGAACATGTCTTTTGGAATATAGAGAAACTAAAAATTTCACTTGGTGATAATTTGTTTAAATAATTATCTAATTGAATCACATCTTATTCATAGACTGTATTGAGGTTAATGTTTGATCACATTTATTAATCTTAAAGCACACCCATATAAACAAAACATGCCACAACAAAATCCTTGTAAGAAAAACAAACCATAGCTTCTTTAGTGGCTGGGGATATAGTTGTGTGGTAGAGTAACTTTTCTCTTCTTTTTCCCTTAGCTTTGTTTAAATTGAAAATATATTTTTTTCATATAGTATATTCTGGTCATTTCCCCTCCTCTAGTTCCTCCCAGACCCTTCCCGCCTCTCCCCCTGCCCAAATCCACAGCCTTTCATTCTGTCATCAGAAAATAAACAGGCAACTAAAAACCAAAAAAGAATAGGAGAAAACAAACAGAAAAGAATGGAGCCAAAGTGACAGCACATGAAGCATGTAGAGATGCAGATGCACACACACACTTACACACACAGAAATCTCATAAAAACACAACTGGGAAACCATAGTACGTAAGCAAAAGACCTGTAAGATGAAAACAATCAAACAAACAAACAAACAAACAAACAAAAGCCCAGATACAGAATTATGAGATAACAACACTCCAAAAATACTATTGAGTTAATTTTGTGTTGGCCATCTACTTCTGGGCACGGGGCCTGCCCTTAAGTGTGGTTTGTACCCCCAGTGAGACTTTGCTGGAGAAAACTTAACTTTTCCGTAGTGAGCAGTTGCCAACTGGAGATAGTTAATGGGTAAGGGATGGGGCTTGTGTCCACTTCCTCTCTCAGCACTGGGACCCTGTCTGGCTTAGACCTGTACAGGTCCTGTGCATGCTGCCTCAGTCTCCAGGAGGTCATATTGTGTGTTGTGTCTAGAAGGCCTTGTTTTCTTGGTGTTCTCCATCCCCACTGGCTTTTTCAATTTTTCCACCTTCTTTTCTACAAAGTTCCCTGAGCCCTGCGGGGAGGGATTTAGTGGAGACATCCCATTTAAGATGGAGTGTTCTGAGGTCTCTCATTCTCTGCACATTGTCCAGTTGTAGACCTCTTTATTTGTTCTCATTTACTGCAGGAGGAAGCTTCTCTCATGATCACTGATCTATGAGTGTATCAGAATGTCATTAGGAGTCATTTTATGGCTGCACTTCCTTAGCAGAACAGGAGTACATGGTTTTCCCCTAGGTCCGTGGCCTATCCAGTTTAGGGCTCTTGGGCACCTGAGTATTGTCAGGCATGGGTTCCATCTCATGGAGTGGGTCTTAACTACAATCAGATAGTTGTTGGTTACTCCCACAACTTTTGTGCCACTATTGCATCAGCATGTCTTGTAGGCAGACGATCATTGTAGACTGAAGGGCTTGTAGCTGGCTTGGTGGTTTCCTTTCTCCGCTACTAGCATGCTGAGTACCTTTCAGTACCACGAACACTAGTCAGTAGGAATGAAAGCTCTGGGTAGGTGCAAGATGAATTGCTAAACGGTCTTATAAATAAAAAACCCAGAGCCAGATATTGGGGGTGAAAACTGAGAGATCAGATGAATAGAACAAGCCACAGCCAACCTCACCCTATCAACTCCTCAGCCTCCAGAGAGAGCTACTTCATATATATATATATATATATATATATATATATATATATATATATTCATGCCTATATACCTTTCTGTGCTCTGACGTCTTACTTCCTCTCTCCACCCAGCTACATCACTTCCTTTCCTCCCAGCTCTACCACCTCCTGTCTGTCTGCACAGATCTCTAGACCTCTATGGTTAACTAGCACTGGGATTAAAGGTATGTGCCACCGCGCCTGGCTCTGTTCCCAGTGTGGCCTTGAACTCACAGAGATCCAGATGGATCTCTGCCTTCTGAATACTAGGATTAAAGGCAGGTGCTACCACTGCCTGACCTCTATGTTTAATATAGTGGCTGGCTTTTCCCTCTGATCCAAGGATAAGCTTTATTGGGGCGCACAAATAAAATGTCACCACAGGTAGGCACCAGCTCAACTTCTCCCTATTGAGTGAGTTGTGTAGATGTTGTTTTCAGCAATAGGGACTTACTATCAGTTTGTGAAGATCAACCAATAGTCTTGGCAATATGCTGGCTTGTTTGGGAATTTCCATGGGGCCCCCTTGGCTAACAACCCAATCAGAGATAACCCATTCCTGGTACTGAGAGTTTCATTTGGTGTCTAGAGGTAGATTGTTTTTCTAGCAGGTTTAAGACCCCAGATTAGATCCCTAACAATGCAAACACACAGACAAACAAATTTGGTTTCACCTTTGCTACAGAAGTTGAGTGGAAAAGTTCTGTAATCCTCTGCTCTCTGGAAAGCACAGTGGGGTAAATAACCTGGGATTATGTAGCATCTCTGAAACTGTGGTTCTCACTCATTTTAGTCCATGGAAGGAGATGGAGCACAGATTACCCTTAAGTAAGTTAGCGTCCCTGAAAAAACCTTCACCCTGTTCTTTTGGGTCAGGGCAAGCGTGTCATGATGATCCTCTATGGCTGTATTGAGTGTGAGCTGTAGACCTGTGAGAATGAGATTTAGGCCACAGACTCAACAGCCCACCTGAACCCCTCTCTAACTAACTGAACATTCAAGAAGCATCCTCACTGGGGACACCATCACCTCAGACATGAGATGTCTGATTCCATCCAAAGTCCAGTGAACACAAGAACAGCTTCTTTCTTCTTTAATTCCAGCAAAGCCTTTGAGCATCTCTATACTACCAGACAGCTTCACCTGATCTGAAGAAAACACATTCCAGTTTACCATGGATACGGTCTGTGTGTGAGATGCAATGTATAACCTGCGACATTTTGCTTCCGTCTTGACTCAGACATTTGTTTGCTGGCCATCTAAATGTTGATGGTCACTGTGACATGGGTGTATGTCTCTTCTATTTTAATGTCACTGCTTAGTTCACAGAGCACTAAATGACTGTGGTATTTGGACTATGAACCCACCAAGTTCTTGCTTTAATCTTGACCTTTGCATAAGTTCCAGCATATCCACATCATGT